CACATGTTTGTCTGTCTTTGATGGGCTGTGTCAGCCAACAGGTGTGACATGGAGGCCATGACTCTGAAGTTGTATTAACTGGCCGAAGTGTGTGAGTGGCTCCCTTCCTGGGCTGTGTACCAATAATTGTGACTAGTTGTGATTTTATGTGATTCTGAGAGAAGGTGCGGGACAGGGGGGCATGGAGGGATCTTGTGAGGTTGTTTTATTGCAGTATTGGTGCCTTACACATAGTAGGCAGGCATGCCTTGTCCCCAGCCCCTCACTGGGGGATTTAGGCAGGGGCTCTACCACTGAGCCACACCCCGAGCCCCTCACTGGGGGATTCTAGGCAGGGGGTCTACCACTGAGCCACACCCCCAGCCCCTCACTGGGGGATTCTAGGCAGGGGGTCTACCACTGAGCCACACCCCCAGCCCCTCACTGGGGGATTCTAGGCAGGGGGTCTACCACTGAGCCACACCCCCAGCCCCTCACTGGGGGATTCTAGGCAGGGGGTCTACCACTGAGCCACACCCCCAGCCCCTCACTGGGGGATTCTAGGCAGGGGCTCTACCATTGAGCTACACCTCTTTTGTGTGTTATTCTATGCAGGTGTGTGTGTGTGTGTGTGTGTAGGTTATGCTGTGCATCTTGAGAGGTGTATCATTACCAGAGAGAAGTCGTGTGGCGGGGCACATCTGTCATCCCAGTGCTGGGAAGGCTGAGACAGGAGGATTGTGACCAGTTGGAGGCCAGCCTGGACATTACAGTAATGTCTCTGCCACGCAGCTTGTGTTCGGACAGGCCTCCGTGCTGGAGTGTGTACTGATTCCTGCATCTGTAACGCCGTGTGGGTCCTGGGCATCTCTGTGACCATGTGTGCCATGCATATCTGCGCAAGTCCCAGACTCTGACACACAAGTATGTGTCTGGGAGCCTGGGTCTGGCTGCAGGAGGCTCTGAGGCATCCAGCTGTATGGTGATGAGTGTGCAAATCTGAGTGTGCACTGGCCTAGGTGTGGATGCCTGGAGATACCTGCCCTGGTGTGACTGTTGCCTTTGCCATCTCCTTAACACACCCCCAGACTGGACTTTGCTAGTTTTTTTTCCTTGTTATTTTGACACAAAGTCTTTGTTCTATAGTTGAGGCTGGTCTGAAACTCACTCTGTATTCCAAATTGGCCCAGCTGGTGGCAATCCTCCGGCCTCAGCTGCTCTTGCACTGAGATGATGGGCATGCCAGGCCTTGTTCCCTGAAACTGTAATGGCTTAAGCCAGCTGCCTTGTATCTCTGTGTCTCAGTTTCCCTCCTGCGAATAGGGAGCAAACCGTAGGAACTTCTGAGAAGGGTTCAGTTGGCTGCATGGAGCAAATAGGTGCCTGTAACCGGGAATGTTTTTCTTGGGGGAACATCCCGTCTCTGTGCCACGTCTCCATTCCCACACTGACTCAACCTCCCTGCCTCCCTCTCCCCTCCCTTTCTCCGTCCCCGCCCCCCCTTCCTTCTCAACCCCATGAGACAGACTTTCCAAATCCAGGCCAGGGTGTATGTAGATACAAGGGAGGGAGGAGAGGCCCAGCTGCTGCCCCTGCAGTGACCTAGTCCTTCCTCCGCCAGAACAATGTCCCTGCCCCTTTCCCTCCTATCAGCAAGGAGCAGGCTGCCTCCTGGGCCCATGTTAGCGTGAGGGTGCCAGGTGGACGGGCAGCTGCAGCTACTGAGGCGACTTCTCTCCTGTTGCCTCGAGCCTGTACAGCTTATGGGTCTCAGTTTCCTCAGCTGGAGAATGGGGGCATGAAACGGTGTTCTGTGGGATGAGTGAGTCAGTTATACTCCCGAGCTCAAGGCAGGACATCAGCGATGGCCCCTTATCCTGCCAGCTGCTGGCTCTATATTCCCTCCTCCACAAAGTCCTCCTTGATCTATGCTTAAGCTGGGTCAGGCACCCCACCCCACCGGGACTCTTCACAGTTTCCAGGACCCCCATATTCTAACTTGACCACTCTGGGGACAGATTTGTCCCCAGGCTGTAAGGACAGAGCTGGGATTGCATCAGCCTTCCCTCCTGCTGGGAGCAGGCAGGTAGAGATGGAATCCAAGTCACCCCTGTGTGTCTGGTGGCCCTGTGGCTAACATTTGTTGAACACTTGTTCTGCCCCTGGTTGGTGCCTTGTTTTTTTCTCTAATAGTTTTCTAATTGTGCTTCATGGGCCGCAGGATACATGCTATCTTCAGCTTTTTCTATAGATGAGCTCAGTTGTCATCCTTTAGTTTGACTGTCATGATTGTTGCTTTTTTTTTTTTTTTTTTTTTTTTTTTTTTGGTTTTTCGAGGCAGGGTTTCTCTGTGGCTTTGGAGACTGTCCTGGCATTCGCTCTGGAATTTAAATATATCTATTCAAAGGTTCAAAGGTTCAGGCATGATGCTGGCCTGCCCCTGTTACCTGGTGGAACAGGCAGTACCCTGGTCAGCCCAAGGTTCCATGGGAACTGAGTCTCAGAGGACCCCTTTAAAAGACAGATCCCTGCCCATTTGCGCTCTCTGCTTTCTCTCTACTCTGTCTCTCTCCTCCGAGCTCTCTCTGCCTCTCTATGGCGACCGGCCATGGCGGTCAGCCATTTTCCCTGTTCCTCTTCTTAGTCTCTCCATTCTGTCGGGCCTTATAATAAACTTCTAGTCAATATGTCTGTCTAAACAAAAACCATTTTCT